GCATCGTGGAGTGCAACAGAGATCAACGAGCGCACGAACCACCACAACGGACAGATGCCCAGGCCCAACAGAGACCAGGTGGGGGAGGCCATGGCCTCTTGGATCTGGTATGTCGGACATTGACAAGCGCGTTCCATTACTCGCAAAGTGACTACTCGCAAATGGCCTGGATCCGCCGCGGGCGATCTACGATCCACTTCGTCGAAGCAAGCCGATGTTTGTCGGACGTCTGCGAGTAGGCACTCTGCGAGTGGTGGAACGCGCTCGATGAGGACACGCAGCGGAGTGCAACCGAGCAGGTTGGGGCATGTACCCGGCCGAGCGCAGAGCAGACCTCCGCCCTGGCCGGTCCAAGGGGGGGGGGGGGGGCAATTCTGGGAAGCACCTGGCTGCGTTGCGCTGGGCGTGGAAATCTCCGCCCCGGCTGCTGAGTGAGCTCCCCTCCTTCCGGGCCGTCCTGCGGCCCTAGGAGGGACAGCGATCTGGTACGATCTCAGAGTGCTGTGTAGTGGAGCGAGCGTGCAGGGTCTCCAGACGACCAGAGTACGACCGAGCGTCCGAGCTTGCGTCCGACAATCCCGCCTACACCTTTTCCTACGACACTCCCCCCCTGATTAATCAACTCTTGCTGTGAGAAAACAGATGGTCCCCTGTGACCACAACTGATCCGCTACCGCGCCACCTGGCAAGTTGAGGCGCGGTAGAATGCCAAGTGCTGCCTGGAAGGGTTTCCGTTGACTTCTAAGAGACCCCCTGTCGTAGCAGAGTTCTCCGTGCACCGACCCCCCTTCCGAGGCCACGATCCCCAAAAATAAGCCTGGCGAAGGACCCGACCATGTGCAATTATAAGTAACGTCGTTGTGAATATCACCTTCGGTGGATCTCCCTATGGGGCCACGAAACGCGTGAAGGGTGCGCCGACAGGAGGTGGAACTGCCATGCGGGCGCTGCCACAACGGGGCCGTACTCACTGGGACCTTCGGTGGGGCTCCCTATGGGGCCACGAGACGTGTGAAGGGTGTGCCGAAATGGGTTGCGGGGACGCATGCGAACTGCCCCACTGGGACCTTCGTGGAGCTCCCTATGGGGCCACGAGACGTGTGAAGGGTGTGCCCAAATTCGGGGCGGGGGCGCATGCGGGCTGCGCCACTAGGACCTCCGGTGGATTCCTCTACGAGGCCACGAAACGCGTGAAGGGGTGAGCCGGAATGGGTGGCCGGAACGCAAGCGGGCTGCGCCTCTGGGGCCGTCGGTGGGGCTCCCCATGGGGCCACGAAACGTGGGAGGAGTGTGCCGAAATTGGTGGCGGGGACGTTTGCAGGCTGCGCCACTGGAACCTTCGGAGGGGCTCCCTATGGGGCCACGAAACGTATGCTGAAATGGGTGGCGAGGGCGCATGCGGGCTGCGCCACTGGGACCTTCGGTGGGTGGCGGGGACGCACGCGGGCTGCCCCACTGGGACCTTCGGTGGAGCTCCCTTTGGATCCACGAAACGTGTCAGGGTGCACCGAAATTCGGGGCGGGGACGCATGCGGGCTGCGCCACTGGGACCTTCGGTGGATCTCTCTACGGGGCCACGAAACGTGTGCTGAAATGAGAGGGGGACGCATGCGGGCTGCGCCACTGGGACCTTCGGTGGATCTCCCTATGAGGGCCACAAATCGTGTGAGAGATGCGCCAAAATTGATGGTGATAATGGTGCTGATGACAGCGACGACGGCGATGCTGGTGACGATGCTGATGACGATGACGATGACGATGACGATGACGATGATGATGATGATGATGATGATGATGATGATGATGATGATGATGATGATGATGATGATGATGATGATGCTGATGGTGCTGATGATGATGATGATGATGATGATGATGATGATGATGATGGTGATGATGATGTTGATGATGATGATGGTGATGATGATGATGACAATAATGATGATGATGATGATGATAATGATGATGATGATGATGAGGAGGATGATGGCGGTGATGATTATGATAATGATGATGCTGATGATTATGATGATGATTATGCTGATGGTGATGGTGATGATGATGATGACGATGACGATGATGATGGTGATGACGGTGATGATGATGATGATGATTATGATGATAATGATGATGATAATGATGATGATGATAATGATGATAATGGATATGATGATGATAGT